GTACTTGCCAGACTGCATTGTGACAAGTTTATAGTTTTGTGGAGGGGGGATTATGGTGCAGGATTGTTTTTCAGGGGTTGAGTTTGGCCCCTTAGGTCCAGTGAAAGGAATTCCTAATGCTTCAGCATACCAAGACATTTTGGACAATGTCATTCTCCCAACTTTGTGGGAACAGTTTTTAGATGGTCCCTTTCTGTTGATGTCACTTTGGTGACTTTGGGTGTTCCTGTGTACCCAGGAACCCTGCATATTTCCTTCATTTAACACATTATTTGCCATTATAAAGTATTGTTCAAAACATCCTTGAAAAGTACCCCTTATTGCTTAATGTTGCCTTAAGGCAACAAAAAGAAAAACGGAATTTGTGAACATGCAAAATAAAAACTAAAAAACATAATAAAACCTGCCAGAAGGCCTCTCTTCATCTTCACACACACACACACACACACACACACACACACACACACACACACACACACACACACACACACACACACACACACACACACACACACACACACACACACACACACACACACACACACACACACACACACACACACACACACACACACACACACACACACACACACACACACACACACACACACACACACACACACACACACACACACACACACACACACACACACACACACACACACACACACACACACACACACACACACACACACACACACACACACACACACACATTTTTTTATGTACAGTTAATGTCATTTTAAATAAGATCACTAAAGCATGTAATCTTCCTTTTAACTCACAACATGTGCTCCTGTGACCATGTGCCAGAAAAGGATGTCCCACCTTCAAATGTTGCTTGATGGTGACTCCCAAACCTTATTGGACTGTTCTTTGATACTTTTTCAATCTTTCTATTTGGTTGCAATCATTTAAAGAAAAAAATTACTGTACATAGGGTTTAAGAAAACTTCTCGGCTACGTATGTAACCCTCGTTCCCTGAGTACAGGGAACGGAGACGTGTCGTCAGGGAGTTCCCTGACGAATTGGGATCACACTAATTGCCTTTGAGATAATTAAAAAAGAGCCAATAAAAATTGGCATGCAATCTTTGCATTCCACGAGCCGCCTACTAGCGTGGATATAAAAAGCATAAGTAAACATTGCATTGACGCTTTTCGCTGAGGAGCCGAACAGAGTCCAGACCTTTGCGAAGGTACAGCAACATGGTGAAGGGACGACACGTCTCCGTTCCCTGTACTCAGGGAACGAGGGTTACATACGTAACCGAGACGTTCCCTTTCGTCTGGGAACTCCGTGTCGTCGGGGAGTTCCCTCACGAATTGGGATCCCTAATAAAACGCCATGGTGCTGGACCCTTCCAGCGCCTAGCTACGCTACCTATGCAGTTTCAGAAATAACGGGGGCTAGCTAGGGAGTTCACACTGCTGTTCCACAAGACCCAATCAGTGGACATTGGATAACAGTGGGAAAGCGTGCCCAACCCAAAGAAAGGGGAAGGGAACACTGCAGAAGCCAGCCGCCTGAGTAAGGCCTGGAATACACATATGTACTAGCCCAGGGGGATAGTGAAACATATGGCAGTCCCTGAGGTAGTCCCAATCCAAAGGGAAGTGGGAGCGTACTCAACAGGGACGACAGAATGACTCTGTCAAGGGGAAGACACGGCTGGACTGCATGTGGCATAATGGGTCACCGAAGAGACCACATAACACCCAGTCTACATAACAACTCCCTTTGAGGTAGTAGACCTGGCGCCTGGCGGTCCGCCACACCTGGCAATGGAGGGGTGATGGAGGAACTCACGAGGCTAACCAACGTAGGGAACTGAGCCAACGGAGCAGAAAGATGCACGTATCCGTCTGAGGCACAGAGTGGCATAGCAAGCTGAGACAACATATTCCCTCACACCACTGGCTGTAGCGAGTACTTGGGAGGAAACAGGTTCCACACGCAGGCTATAGAATCTAGCAAACGTGTTCAGTGTTGCCCAGCCCGCAGCTCTACAGATGTCTGTCAGCGAGGCGCCTTGAGCCAAAGCCCAGGAGGCGGCAACACATCTCATACAGTGAGACGCAACCTGGGAGGACAAGGCTCACATGTAGCTTCATATGCTCGGGTGATAGCATTCATTAAACAGTAAGCTAACCTCTGCTTGGAGACAGCCTTCCCCTTCTGCTGGCCTCTGTAACAAACAAAGAGCTGGTCTGAGGTCCTGAAGCTTTGCATTCTGTCAATGTAAACCTGTAGGGCATGGACTTGATAGAGAAAAACAAGGGCTGGGTCTGGCTCCCCCTTGGGCAGCGCTTGCAGGTTCACTACCTGGTCCGCGAAGGGAGTGGTAGGAACCTTGGGCACATATCCGGGCTGGGGTCTCAATATAATGTGAGAAAGGCCTGGCCCGAACTCTAAGCACGATTCGTTGACCGAAAAAGCCTGCAGATCCCCGACCCTCTTAAAAGAGGCCAAAGCCAACAGGAGCGCTGTCTTAATTGACAGGATATTCAGCTCCACTGTCAGCAAAGGCTTAAAGGAAGGACTTTGGAGAGCTCTCAGTACCAGAGCTAAGTCCCAAGATGGTTAGCAAGTACAGAGCGGGTCGAGAGTACAGAGTGCAAAACACGAGGCGGATTTAACCTCCTAGCACCCTTAAGGAATCTGATGACCAGGTTGTGCTTCCCCACGGACTTACCTTCTACTACATCGTGATGTGCAGCTATTGCTGCAACATACACTTTGAGGGTGGAAGGGGACAACCTACGCTCCAACCCATCTTGTAGGAAGGAAAGCCCGACTCTGATCAGGCAAGTTCGGGGTCCACCACTCGATGAATGGGTTCCACTTCAAGGCATAGAGGCGCCTTGTAGAGGGGGCTCTAGCAAAAGTGATGGTGTTTACCACTGCCTGTGCTAGATCACCTAGAACCTCCGCGTCCCGTCCAGGGACCAGACATGGAGTTTCCAGAGGTCTGGATGGAGGTGCCATAGAGTGCCCCGTCTCTGAGAAAGAAGGTTCTTCCTCAGTGGAATCGGCCAAGGAGGGGCTGTCGTGAGGAGCATGAGTTCCGTGAACCAGGTCCTGGTCATTGAGATAGTTGAGAATGTGAACGCCTTGTTTTCTCAGGAGAAAAATGGCTGCCTCCGTGACTTTAGTGAAGACGCGGGGTGACAGGGCCAGCCTGAAGGGTAGGACTTTGTACTGACACGACCGACCCTCAAAAGCAAACTGAAGAAACGGACTGTGTCGAGACATGAAAGTAAGCGTCCTTCAGGTCAATCGCTGCAAATCAATCCAGGGCACGGATGTCCACTGACCGCACACGGGTGAAGTGAACGCCCCTGAACCTCGGAGGCCGGCGTGCAAACTGAATTGCATAGCTGAACCGAATGGTGCGCATGAGCCATTGGGATCGCATCCCAATGCATCGTGACTGACCGCTCCACTGGGGGATTCCCTTGTACCCGAGCGCCAGTCCGCCATCAAGGGTGGTGAGGAAGGAGGAATGAGGTTGCCTACGACTGCCTAGTAGAGGCGTGAGAAGCCTGATAGGATTTGTCAACAGTCGAAACATTCTTCAACCCTCATACACTCACCAACAGGAATTACCAAATTAGCTGCATGCTGAACTGAACCAGCAGACAAACTAGATCGGGGATTATCTGAAGGGACTGCCCCTTTAAGGGTTCTCAGTCTCGAGCGCAGCATCGCGAGAGTCATATTCCCGCAATGAAAACATGACTCATCCACAAGCGCTGCTTCAGCATGCGTGAGCGTGGACCGAAGAATGAACAGAAGACAGCAAAAATGTACAAAAAATAATTAAAATATGAGCAGAAAATATAAGAGAGCACAAAATACATCTACTAAAACTAAGGAAATCGTAAAGTTGCATGATTCAGATTATTTTGTATTAATGTTTAAGTTCAGTGCAAAATAAATAATTTTTTTTTGATAAATGTTATTATTTTTAAATCTGCTTTTTTTTTAATTCACGCTCATTATTTTTTGATCTGCAAACACTTTGTTTGCTATTCTTTTTTTTTTTTTTTTTGTGACCACAATACTTTTGACGGGAAATTCCAAACTTATTCTTAAGTTACATATTTCATACACAATCGTTTTTTTTCTTTAGTTTTGTTATATTACAATTAATTGTCAATGCTGTTGAAACTGTTTATTGTGTTACTGTTTAACCTGTCACTGATGTTCCATATTTTAATTAAAAATCTAAAGAAATTGTATTTTGCATCAAGAAAGCCTTAACTGTAAAGAATTTATACACATAATAGTAATATTTTTGTACTGCTTTTATTTTATTTTATAATTATAACTTATCCAAAAGTAATTAACTCCAATCTGTGTTAATTAGCCTATAACACAGATTGGTGTTTGCCTTTTTTTCTTATGGTAGATTTAATTTAATTGGTTTATTTAAAATATTTAATTTAACCAAGCAAATATATGAAATTGTAATATAGATAACAGACTGCAAACAGACAAAGAATGTTTCTTTTATAGCCTATATTATGCTATATTTACGCTCTCATATTTTGGTTAAGAATTGCAATTCTGTTTAGATGCAGTGGAAGCTGTTATTTAATGTGTTGGAAACCTTTGGTGTCATTTATTGTTCATTTTGACAGTAAAATAGAGGATGTGTGTGTTACTACAGTATGATTTATGGGTGACTTTTACTTTGTTATTCCGCAATGATTCTTCTTACGTCAACAAACAGTGAAGTTTGACATAATAAACTTTGAAAAACAGATTAAAAGTGCTTTCAGCGTTTTTCCTAAATTATGGCTTTAACTTTAGGCAGAATGTCAATTGATAATGGATTCAGGAGGGTAATCCACCACACGTGTTTCAACTCAATGAAAAGACAAAGACTTTATAGCACCGTTTTAAAAGAAGAGAGAAACAGCGGTAACTCAGGTAAGTTAAAGTTATGACCGAGTTTCCGTTTCTTAACAGTAGAGGTCAGTATAAACTTAAGTAAATAGGCTCTATGCACAACCATAGACAGTGCACAACTTACTCTATGCACAACTTTACACTTAGAGTTTTTTATTTTATTTTACAAAATTCATTCTGTTCTGTTATGCCATGCCAGTCTGACAGAGATTTCGAGATGGCAGTTGTGTGTAGAAAGACGGACTGAATTTAACGTTTCCGTTATAAATGACTAAGCCATGAAGTAGGCCTTGTTGTTAATGCTATTCCGATTTCGCTATTTTTTATTTTTATTTTTGTTAAAACGAATATCACCTACACCATTGACGGTGATTGCTCTAACCCACTCTAATTTTGTGCAAGACCACATATCTCATGTTGAAGATTAGCTGACGGGAAATTTTGTATTTCTCTAAAATTGCTCTGGATTATAACGTTGCCTGCCTGCTCCTCACCGTATTGGCCTTCCTCATGTGTAGGTCTGATCCTGTAAGATTTCATACATCACCTCAGTTCATTGAGTTCCATTATTTTATTTTAATTTACCTATTAAATGAAAATCCTGTGGAAGATATATATATATATATATATATATATATATATATATATATATATATATATATATATATAATGTTTTTTTTTTTTTTCTGTGACCAGTGAGTTGGACTTCAACAAAGCAACAATGGGTGAATAGCTTTATATCACAGTTTAGCTATTTTTAACAGACATCCATTCTTACACATGTCATTGATGTTACTGAGTTTGCTGTGCATGTGGTTAGAAACTAAACATTATGTAGATTAGCTGTCCAGAAACACCACGACCTTGCTTAGTTGGATAGAATGCTGCTTAACATATTTTTTATATGTGTGTAGCATTTTAATTCATAGAAAGAATAAAGGTATAGTAATGATATAGAAATAATATAACCACCACTTAAAATGTTTAGTATTTCCGAATGTACTTTGACTTTGTTCTTTTCGTTGTTCTGTATTGACATTCAATAAAAAGTGCAATGTCATGTCTGTAGTCTGCACACACTCAGTTCAGATAGGGCGTGATATTTATTTGTTTATTTCACTATGTTCGTTTATTTTACTATCTCCATGGGTAGATGTATAAATAAGTCAAGTCATTATGAGAGAATAGTTGTGGATAGTTATCGGGAAAAATAACCTTTCTCTTGTAGTTTAAGCAGTTTTGTGGCACAGTCTCTAATCAATTGACCCTAAAAAGCATTTGTACAAATATGTGAATGCCATTGAAAAAGAAAGTTAAAACATGACCCACTTTTCTAGCAATACATTTCACAAAAGAACATTTCTTAAGATCTTAAACCTTTAAAATAAATGAAACTTGTTTTAATAGTTTGTTATCTAATATGTTTTTTTATGTTTTAATATCTACTGAATGTAACGGCAGACAGATTCATTCTGCTCAAATGGTCATGTATTTCCTCCTGTGATTATGGCAGGTACAGGTGGGACGGTGGTTTCTGAAAGGAGGGGTGCAGTGATGGTCATTGGGATTAACCGTCCTGAAGCGCGTAATGCGGTAAATCAAGAGACTGCTCAGAGACTGACCGAGGAGCTGACAGCCTTTGACCAGGACAACAGCCTTGATGTGGCTGTGCTTTATGGAGTTGGTACGTTCAGTTACACACTACTGTGACACACTGTGGAAAAAGTGGGCTGACTTTAGTTCAGTTTGAATGAAACAATGTTGTCTTTTTGAGTAGTAAAGCAACCAATAGTTTATGAATGCACTTTACCCCCATTTTTTCCAACTTATGCTGTAAAATTTGTGTAAACTATGTAGCCTGCCTCTTCTAAGTCTACTGATATTTGTTATGACGTCTGCTTCAAACATTTCAATGCTCAGGATAAATATATCCACTTCACCAGCTAATTACTTTTCGATGCCATAGGGTCTCATTTAGCTCCCTAGCTCGTGAATCAGTAGATCGGGCTCACGAATTTGAGCACTGGTAAGGACAGTAAGGACCCTGGCTCACACAATACATATTGGGACTCTACTTCCGGCTAAATGACAACATCCTCATTGTATACATCGTACATCACAGCTGGTTTTTATGAACAACAGCAAGCTGATATGTTTCTGACATTACTTGTAATGTTATTTAAGTTACATTATGATAAATTCTTTGTTTGTTACATATACGTGCAACATTTCAGTTGTAAATAACTCAGGCCCTGTTAACATGAGAACGCTTGCGGGTGAAAACGTAAAAAAAGTTTATCGGATGTGCCTTTCGTTTATACGGCGACAGCCGTGAAACCACCCTCCAGAGTGGAAATCTTTAAAACGCTCCACCGCCGCGTTTCCGTGTAAACAGTAAAAATGCAAAGGTCTGCTTGACAGTATAGGTTGTACGCAGGTGTGCGGGCTTGGTGCTGTTGAAGTATGCACCCTTAGCCGCCTGGAGTGCATACTACATTGAATTTCACAGAGTTTTGCGTCACCATCTGCACGCGGATTTCACACCCAAAACGCTCGTCTAAACTCAGAATATGAAGTGATAATGCAACGCCACTTTTGCATTTTCTCTTCAGAATCGTTTCCGTGTAAACATAGCCTTATAAATATTAGCTGGATTATGTTCAATACCTGTCCAGCGATGAATGTTTATGCTGAAATACACTCACCTATAGGATTATTAGGAACACCTGTTCAATTTCTCATTAATGCAATTATCTAATCAACCAATCACATGGCAGTTGCTTCAATGCATTTGACCCTGTGGGGTGTGGTCCTGGTCAAGATAATCTCCTGAACTCCAAACTGAATGTCAGTATGGGAATGAAAAGGGATTTAAGCAATTATTAAGCTGATCTGAGTATTTCATAATCTGCTCAGTGACTAGAATTTTCACGCACAACCATTTCTAGTGTTTACAATGAATGGTGTGACCGTGAAAATGGAAAAATATCCAGTATGCGACCGGCAGTCCTGTGGGCGAAAATGCCTTGTTGATGCTAGAGGTCAGAGGAGAATGGGCCGACTGACTCAAGCTGATTGAAGAGCAACTTTGACTGAAATAACCACTCGTTACAACCGAGATATGCAGCAAAGCATTTGTGAAGCCACAACATGCACATTCTTGAGGTTGATGGGCTACAACAGCAGAAGACCCCACGGGTACCACTCATCTCCACTACAAATAGGAAAAAGAGGCCACAATTTGCAGAAGCTCACCAAAATTGGACAGTTGAAGACTGGAAAAATGTTGCCTGGTCTGACGAGTCTCGATTTCTGTTGAGACATTCAGATGGTAGAGTCAGAATTTGGCGTGAACAGAATGAGAACATGGGTCCATCATGCCTTGTTGCCACTGTGCAGGCTGCTGGTGGTGTAATGTGTGGGGGATGTTTTCTTGGCACACTTTAGGCCCCTTAGTGCCAATTTGGCATTGTTTAAATGCCATGGCCTACCTGAGCATTGTTTCTGACCATGTCCATCGCTTTATGGCCACCATGTACCCATCCTCTGATGGCTACTTCCAGCAGGATAATGCACCATGTCACAAAGCTTGAATCATTTCAAATTGGTTTCTAGAACATGACAATGAGTTCACTGAACTAAAATGGCCCCCACAGTCACCAGATCTCAACCCAATAGAGCATCTTTGGGATGTGGTGGAACGGGAGCTTCGTGCCCTGGATGTGCATCCCACAAATCTCCATCAACTGCAAGATGCTATCCAATCAATATGGCCCAACATTTCTAAAGAACGCTTACAGCACCTCATAATGCCAGGTAGAATTAAGGCAATTCTGAAGGCGAAAAGGGGTCAGACACAGGATTAGTGTGGTGTTCCTAATAATCCTTTAGGTGAGTGTATAATATATATATATATATATATATATATATATATAGTCATTGTGTAGTAGGTTGACTCACAGAATTACATTTTTGCGCTTCAGAAAGGAAACATAGTGAGCATCAATCCTGCCTGGTTTTCACAGTTCATAGTTGGACTTTTTTGGGGTATTAATGTTTTAGTGAACTGGAAGGATTCTGCAATTGAGACAGCACTTAAAATGGTCTACTCCTTGATCAGTGCCCTGACTACTGAACTAGGGAGCTGATTGAGATGCACTCATAGAAATATACAGAGATACCACAAAAAACGTTTAAAGACCAAATACTAAGGATGACGCATAAGATCTAATATAGATATTAAATGCTTACTTGGTTATGTCTTAAGCATGATAACATTGCCTTGAAATTTGCTGCCTTCATATACTAAAAGCCAAGTCTTTTACTGAGTGGGCAGCACATGGCTACAAGACTCCTGTGTTATGTCAAAGTCCGTCATGACAATATTTCCACATTAAAAACAATTTTCTCAGGCCATCAAATTGGACACCCTCAATAGAAATAATTTGTTCAACCTGGATCAACCATCTCTACTCAAATGTCCTCAGTCACCTTTATCATGAGTTAAACAAGAGGTTTTGATTTCTCTTACTCTAAACCTGGATCCCAGCTAGAGGACCATCTGCAGGTGAACTGACCACATCAGATAAAATTACATAGACAACACATGTAAAGAATGTCTGATGACAGTAATTGGTTGAGTTAATGTTGGCCACACAAGAATTCCCTTATTTGTGTTAACATCTACTATATCTCAAGACATTTAAATGAACATTAAAATGCAATTGAGCACATTACACAAGCTAACTTTCCTGGTCTAGATTTTACAAGTCCATTAGGAAGCCATTAGGAAAATTGTGTCCATGGCATGTTCGCATTTCAGCTAAATTATGAATAATTGCTGGTTCGAGCAATGATTTGTTCAAGTACACTGAAGGACTGTTTTAACTGGTAACATTTTACTGAAGTTTAAAATGACTTGTAATTAGTATACGTTTCCCCGTGAAAAAGACGTGTGCTGAATTATTTTGAATGTGCATTTGTAGTGTACTTAAAATCTTTAAAGTATATAAAAAATCAAATAAACTAATTGTCTTGCAGATAATATAATATTAATAAAATAAAAGGTTAAGTGTACTTGATAGGAGTACACTTTGCATTGTAATTACACAAGAACTGAGTTAACAACATGTTCTTAAGTTAAGGGTTAGGATTTGGTATAGTGTTTGTACTTGTAATTATGAATAATTTACCATAGTAAATACATGTAACAATGACACATTAAAATAAAGTGTTACTTTAAGTGAATATTTTTTAAATCCAACTTAATCATTACAAAGGTGTATATACATTTGTACATAATACATGACATTTAAATGCAAGTTTCAATAAGTATACTTATCAGAACATTCGGCAGTACAATTTAAAGTACATATTTGAAAACAACAGTAGTAATTATGAAATTAATATACTAGTCATAGGCTACATTATATAGGGTCAGTTAATTGCAATTAAATGTATCCTATAACACATTTTCATTTAATTTAAATGAACATGCAGTGAAAACATAACATTCAGTTTGTACTTAAAAAAAGTTCTTATAATAGTCTTCAAAAGATTAAGTATGCTAAAGTGTACTTCTTTTTAACAAGTGTTGCTTTGTCTTTACCAAAGTGCATGGCATTTGGTCATTTTTTTTCTAATGTGTATGTTTCTTCAGTTTCTTTTCATATGTAATTTAGAACCTGAATACATGTCAAAATATTAATATAAGAATAGAGCATGTAGGCCTGAACACATGAAAGTGATACTCATGCTATTAAGTTATGTTATGCTGTCTGACTTTCATGGTTTAATCTGCTTTGTTGTATAATTGAGTTTGTTTGATTCAGGAGGGAATTTCTGTGCTGGTTTTGATCTGAAGGAGTTGGCTCAGAGCTCTGGTTCCCTCAAACTGGAGCAAGATGTTTGCCGTGGTCCTGGTCCCATGGTACGGAGTGGTCCTTCTCAGATGCAGTATTGCATATTAATACTAAATGAGTCATATAATGCATTCCTTTTAATTCAGCTTGTAATATTATAACTAATGAATTTTTCTTGCAGCAAAAAGTAGTTTGTCTGGGTGTAAACAAGTTGGTTTATGATTTTTATGTGAAAATGGGGTACACTTTTTCTCAATGGTGCACTTTAGACACTCTACTTACTACGTTACTTTCAACATATCAACTAACTCTCATTAGAGTATTAGTAGATGGTTGTAAACTTTGGGTTTGGTGTTAGGGTCCGGGTTAGAATAAGTTGACAGTTGCAAAGTTACTTCTAGAATGTCTGTTGGGATACAAATGGGACAATCAAAAGAAAGTGTGCAGATATTAAGCAGACCGTCTACTAATACATGACTGGTAGTTGACATGTAGTTGCAAAATTGCTTATAGTAAGAATGACTGAAAACAAGCTTTGCCTGACTGTCTTCTTAACTTGTAAAATGAGTAACATGACACATGAGCGACAGAGACCATCAACAACTATCAAGACTAGTGCAGACTGAAACTGACGCAATCTCCTGAGTCCTGAGTCTAGTAAAAGCGAGTTAGCGGCTGCTGATGATTAAAAACTGTCACTGTAAATGTGCTTTATAGTGGAGGGTTGAGTCAATAAACCTATTGGTTTGCAGGATATTTAGAACAGAAATAAAAACGATGCATGTTGTTTGCCGTAGGGTCCATCTCGTATGAGGCTCTCAAAACCCTTGATCGCAGCAGTCAGCGGGTATGCTGTGGCTGGAGGTCTGGAGCTGGCCCTGCTGGCTGACCTGAGGGTGGTGGAGGAGAGCTCCATCATGGGCGTTTTCTGCCGCAGATTTGGTAGGTATTGTTGTCTATTTCACATTGAGGTGTTATTTTGCTTAAGGTTGAGGTATGCGGTCAAATCTAATGGAACTGCGCTGTTTAATAACTGCAATTAAACAACTATTACTAATTTATATCTAAAATAATATAATTATATTTAATTCTTTTATTTTTAATATTATTATTTACAATAACAAGAAAGCGTTATGGTAAAACCATGTTTTTTATTTGGACCAGCACTATAGTGATAAATACCATGGTACTACATTGGAGTGTACAAGATGTAGTTTAAGATTGTTAAAGCTGGTGTTTTTGAGTAAGTCACTCACTTTGCAAACAAACAATATAAAAAACATTCAGAGTGCCCACTTACAATGCAGTTCGAATGACCCCGAAATTCGTTACTGTGCTTATGCTTTTTTTGCCAAAAATAATCACAAAGCGAAGATTGTGAGATACATTTTAAACACATTAATGTCTGTTTTTGCTCTATTTTGCCAATGAAAATACAAAAATCATTTTATAATTCAACATTCAAAAAGGATTAAAGAGGCTGATATTTTTTCGGGAATCCCACGGGTCCAGGGATTCCCATGGGATTCCTGCAGGATGGCAGTCATCTTTGCTATAAATCACGGGATTTGGACGGTACAGGATAAATGGTTAACGGGAGCAAACGGGAGCGGGAATCAACCAATAGCAAAGACGACAAAAAAAAAAAAAAAAAAAAAAAGTAAAATGCACCATTTTGTAGTTTCCTTTTAATACGCCTACAATGTAACGCAATTAAAAAATAACTACACGACCCAGCCGTTCCAGAAGCCATTGTGCTTTTTGTCACGGCTTACCGCTGGAATTCAAAGAGCAGTGATGGAGGGAGCTAACAGCCGCGGAGAAGTCGATGTGGCAAAAAAATTATTTACAGCGCAAAGTCAGAAGTAATGACATGTCTATTAAGTTCACAGAACTGGTCGGACAGTCTGAAATATTAATTAAGTTTATGAGAGTAGAATGTGACAGTAATAGCACGACGTACGCTGCTTCTAAGACAAGCATAGTCTTAGTCAAGTAAGCAAGTGATTCAGGGACGAGCGGTCTGAAGAGGCACACTTGCAAGGCAAATTCGGGAAAGTATTAGCCATGTTGGAGCCTACACAGCAACATATAACTAAGATGGACTCATTATGCAAGAGCATTATTTATGAAAATCGTTAACATGTAATTAAAAAAAAACCTATAAATGTAAACTATAAATCTATTGTTTACTCAACAATAAATGAGTAAAATGCAGTTTTATATGCTGTTTGGGTTTATAAAACTATTGTAAACTATTGTAAAGAAAACATGGTGTGAACTATGTAGTGTTTTTCTTTTATTTGCTGTCTTCAATTTTCTGGAAAATCTAGAAACGGGGGCTCAACAGCTGGTCTAAAACAGGATGGAGAGCAGATTAAATCAAATTCTATGTATTAACTAAACACTAAAGGGCTTTATCCACAGCTGCACTACTTCCTGAACTTCAGCCAGCTCCTTATTTCCTGTCTGCCATTACTGGCCAAATTGATTAATTCAGGTGTGTCTGATTATTGTTGCCATGACTACTGAGGTCAAGCACACCTGAATTAATCAATTTGGCCAATAATGGCAGACAGGAAACAAGGAGCTGGCTGAAATTCATGAAGTAGTGAAGCTGTGCATAAAGCCAATTGAAGAAAAAATATATATGGGAGCGATACAGGAGCGGGAGTCGGTTTAAACAGGAGCGGGATGGGAGTGGGAGTCAATTTACCAGCAGCGGGATGGGATGGGATTATTTTTAAACTTTGGTCTGGGAGTGGGACGGGACTAGTGTTGCTTTCGTCAACGAAAATTATGACGAAATATCATCGTCAACGAACCTTTATCACGTGACGAAAACGAGACGAGACGCAACGTAAATGCTGGTCGTGTGACGATGACTATAACTAAATGTATAATGCAATATCGTTGACGAATAAAAACGAGACTAAATGTGGTTTACAAAAATAAAAACTATGCTAAAATGTCTCTTCATTTTCGTTGACCAAAACGAGACGAGCCGAAATGTTTTTTAACGTTAGATTGTCTCGTTTAGCCTACTTGCATTATTAGTATGCTATGCAGCATTTCTGTTTCCTGTGTCACTTCAGGGGCTGCATTAGATCGCACTGTGCAAACGCATGCGACTTCAGATCCTCAAGCCCCACTCGCGGCATTATTTACAAGAAGCAGTTGCGTGAGTTACAGCTGTTTCACACACACTCCGTGTGTAGCGTGTATGCGGTTCGTGTTGCAGTGTGTATGCAGGAGCAGCGCGCGTTATTGCTTTCACATGTGCGTTTGCAGTGCGCAACTGATCTACGGCTGTACCACAATCACAACATTTATTCTCTATTTTTTATTTCAAATCAGTATTTTAGCCTACATCCATTGTGTCACGTTGTTGAGGTAGCCTACTGTGTAGATTTCTGCTCTGCTGTTATGCACGCACCCGTCCTAGAGCGCGCGGTATGAGCGCTAATCTATAAGTCACATTCAAGTCAAGTCACATTTATTTATATAGCGCTTTTCACAATACAGATTGTATCAAAGCAGCTTCACAGTGATAACATGAAAGTAGCACAACACAGATCAACAACATTGCTAAACACTAAATAACCCCAACTGAGCAAGCTGTAACTGTTATAACTGTAACATGGGTGCGGGAAACATACGCACTGCAACTGGAGTATGTGTGAAACAGGCGTTAGCACACAATGACAACAAACAAAGTTAAGTCTGACAGAGAGAAGGGGATTCATCTTTGGGAGAAAAAGAAGAAATGACATTTGGAAAAACTTTCATTTCATCATGTGTGTAGGCTACTAACATGTTTGGTTGGTAAAATAAATATGTTGTAAATTAAATTCAGAGCGTCTTCCTGGATGTATTCTTGAGTCTATAAGCTAACAATAATATAAGAAGGAAACTATAAGAAGATATTGTTTGAAATGGGTTTGGCTAAAATAAAAAAAAATGGTTTTGTATAGGCTAGCCTACTACTAGATAGGCTTCTTATACATTGACTGGGTTAAATAGAATTGCCTACTAAAAAGAGACTAAAATAAAATTTTCATTGACTAAAACTAGACTAAAATGGCATCAGTTTTCGTCGACTAAAACTAGACTAAAATGTCATCCGTTTTCGTCGACTAAAACTAGACTAAAATGTCATCAGTTTTCGTCGACTAAAACTAGACTAGACTAAAAAGAGTATGAAGGTGACTAAAACTAACAAAAACTAAAATGTCAGCTTGACACAAAGACTAGACTAAAACTAAAATTAAAACAGGCCGCCAAAAACAACACTAGACGGGACAAGATTTCTTTCTATGGGAGTGGGACGGGACAGGAGCGAAAATCCACTTCCGTGTCATCCTCTACTGCACTATACCTACTCAGGGTGTGTAGATCCATGAAAACTGTTTTTTCAAAAAAAGTTTGTTTTTCTCCGTTCCTCCCCCAAAACCCAACCTTTTTAATCCTTTGGGAATTGAGTAGACTACTTGTTGCACTTTTTCAATATTTGCCCAATCTTTTCTGAAACAAGACTGCTGCTCAACAGTCTGTGGTCGTCACTGTCCAATTCTCCTTTTCATGATGGGTCATGCATTTTCAATAAGAGACAGATATGGACTAGAGGCAGGCACATCCCTTTGTCCCATCCCATCCCAGGCACAACCACTCAGTTTTAGCATGTGCAGAGTGAGGCCTGGCATTGTCTTGCTTCCTGTCATCTTGATGCCATTTAATGTTTCTGGACAATCCCAATATATGCCTCCATGTCAATGGTACCTTCAGACAAATGGAAGTCACTCATTCTGTTTTCACTGATGCACCCCAATACCAGGTGTTTGCTTTTCCACCTGTCGCTGGTGAAAGTCTTGATGGTCCCTTTCGTCTTTGGGACTGAGAACTCGATGTCTTTTTTTCCCAAAAACAAGCTGAAACATGGCACACATTTCCAATATCTTCTAGACCATCTGAGATGAGCTCGGGCCAGAGAACTCGCCGGCATCTCTGCATAGAGCTGATGTATAGCTTTCTCCTTGTATCACATGGATTCAAGTAGCATTTCTTGATGCAATGTCAAACTGTGTTCAGTGAAAATGGTTTCCCAAAGTACTCTTGAGCACATATGGCTGTATTTAATAGAGTAGCATGATGGTTTCTAATGCAATGCCATCGGAGGCCTCAAAGGTCACGCACATTCAACAGAAGTCTCCTGCCTTGCCCTACCTACACAGACTGATATTTCTCTGGATTCCCTGAATCTTTCCACAATATTTTTGATGGTAAATGGTGAAACATACATTCTTTGCCATCTTGCATATAGAAAAGTGATTTATGAATTGTTTGACAATTCTCTCATGATATTTGGCACAAAGTGATGAGGCATGACCAATCTTTGCAAAAAAAAAAAAAAAAGAGAGATGTTCCTTTTACACTAAATCATGAGACTCTCAGTTCACCTGCTTATTGTGGACTGTATTGCCTGTGTCCCAACTTTTTTGGAGTGTGTTTCAGCCATCAAAATTAAAATGTTTTTCTATTTACAAAATACTGAAGTTGGCCAGTGAAAATATTTTCTTTGTACATTTGTCAGTTAATTAAAGGTTAAAAAGAATTAACAACTAACATATTCTTGATTTTATTGCATTTTCCCAACTTATAGAATAGTCGCAAGCTTTCTGGAAATGTGGTTGTTTATATACATGGTGATTTAGATGCACCATCTGTGCCACTTATGCAGTGCAAAAAAAAAAAAAGGATTTTATTACTTTTGAATGACTGCAATAGGTAAGACTATGGTGTCAATTTGAGGTGGCAAATATTGTCCCTTAATCAAAAAAGGAACCACCACAGAATATAAAGAATAATAAAAGCTTTGAGAGTCACCTGTCCACAATGGGCCTACACCAGCCAATGAACAAGCACTGAGACAAATTCAGTGAAGT